TTGCTAATTGAATCCTAAAGACATTCATCACTTTTAAATTTCATTTAAGTGTGAAGAAACTTCAGGATTAAACAATATAGAAGGCACAGAAATATAATATGAAAGGTTTACCAGAATTAAGCCTCTATCTAGTACCCAAAAGAAATACTTGCTGGTCCTGTATGGTGTGATCAAGTCAGTCCACTTGTCTATAGGTGGGTTTAACTGAGAATTAGTCCATTTGTGTTAGTTTTCTGTTGCTGTCACAAAATACCTGAGACAATCACCTTAAAAAGAGTCAACTAACTGGCCAACAATTGTGGAGTGGTCTGCTGGCCCTGGTGCTTTTTGACCCATCGGGAAGCAGTGCTTCATTGTGGGAGCATGTGGCAGAGAGGCTGCTTGCTTCATGGCAGCCAGGAAGCCAGGAAAAAAAGAGGAGGGAGCCAGCGACTAAATATCCCCTTTAGGGGCCCACCTCCATGATCTAACTTCTTTCCATAAGGCCCCACCCTCTAATCTGAATGGTTACCCCATGTCCACCTCTCAGTAGCATCACAGGCTGGTGACCAAGCCTTTGACACATGGCCCTTTTGGGGAGGGGGGTTACTTATCTAAACCATAGTACAATTAAAGCAATTGTTTTAAAAAGTGTAACTTTATATATCTAGACATTTAACTTGATGATTTATCATAGGAATAAGTAAAGAAATAAAAACACACTTTTTCTTCTTCTAAACTTCATTTACTCTTATTTATTTTAATTTCCATCTTATTGCACTTTGAGGCATAACTGCTCATTTATATCCAGACCTTATCCACAGCTTTCCCATGGCTGATGTACTGGGTTAGAGATGATAGAATTTCATACCTTGGTGTGAAATCCTTTGGTTCTTTGAATACCTAAAGCCTGTGGTTACTTGTTCAAACCAGTTAGATAAGTTGGTGCCTTATCAGCCTTCTTTCTGGTGGTTACTGCTGGTCTATGGAGAAATTAATCAAACAGTTATTGTACCTGTAGCTCTACAGCATTTTTCAGATTGGGCAGCTGAACCCTTCCATCATTTGTTGAGCACCTGCTATGTATGTGCCAGGCATTGTTCTGAGATTCAGTTATAAAAAAGACAGTGGACCCTGCCCTGCCAGAATTTGTAGGGTGTAACAGTCTCCAAGTGGGATGGTGCTACTCATGGCTAGCATTTATTTTGTGTTTACTCTGTGCTGCAAATTTTTCCAAGTGGTACATATTTAATCCTTTAATTTGCTCCAAGTCACAGAGTTAGTATGTAGCAAAGATGGAATTCAGATTTGCCATTTGAGCTCCAGAAAATTCCACATTTATCCACCATGCTGAAGTGTGCAATTATAATAGGTAGTTATGGCATCATTTTAAGTGGGTAATTAAATAGGCTCTTTCAATAAGTGTGAGCACAACTGTGGTGGAGCACGGTGAATTCACCTGGCTTGGTTTTGTTAGTGTCAGGGAAAGTTTTTCTGAGCAAGAAAATGTTTCTTGAAAAGTCTTTTTTTACTTCCCCTTTTTTGCCATTGATGAGAATCAGAGAATGTTTTAAAAGGGAATTAGACAATATTTTTCGTACAAAGCAATAAGCATAGATTAGAAAGACCATGGGACTGTTCTGAACTTGGGAAGGTCCCTATGGTTATTCTTTATTGATAGGTTGAGTGAAATTTTTTTAATGAGCTATTAAAAAATTAACAGAAGGGCAGTGACACACACCTGTAGTCTTGGCTGCTCTGGAGGCTGAGGTAGGAGGACTGCTTGAGCCCAGGAGATTTGAGGTCAGCTGAGGCAGCATAGTGAGATCCTGTTGGGGAGAGAGAGAGAGAGAGAGAGAGAGATGATTATTTTGTGCTGTTTAAATTGGTTTAAATATGGAAGCACCTTGGATTGATTGCTTTAGGTCTGTTGTCTTGTGTAGCAGGGGATATACTTTTCCAAGTTCCCACATCACAAAATGAGTAGAGAAAAAAAAGTATGTAATGCATTTTATAGAACACATTCCATAATATCAAAGGCTTTATGAAGTATTATATACTCACAGGTGGAACTACTTAAGATTTATAAATTAAATAGTTCTTAAACATTTTAAGTGTAAAATTGAACCATTTTTGTAATTTGTCCGTGTAGCAACTTTTATGACTAATGATTTTTATCAGTTAAAATCCTTTTTTTTTTTTTCTTGATGGTTCTGAGGTTTGAACTCAGCCTCACACTTGCTTGGAAAGCACTCTACCACTTGAGCCACACCTCAAGTTCAGGTGCTGTCATGAGATGGGAACAGTAAATTTTTAAGACTATGGAAATATTTTTGTGGTCAGTAATATACTGTGACTAAAAAGCTGATAGAATAGGTGATTCTGATAGTTTTGCTTTATTTTTTGTACCATGGCTCATTTTGCATATGAAGACAGTTATTTTCATAGTTAAACCAATATACAAAATTTAGATAAGTTGTTTTCATTTAGATTTTTGTTTGCTTAGGTTTTTTTTTTTGTTTTGTTTTGTTTTTGTTTTTTTGGGGACAGAGTCTTGTGGTGTATTGCAGTGTGGCCTCAAACTTATGAAAATCTTGCCTCAGCCTCCTGAGTACTGGGATTCTGGGTGTGCACCACCACACTTGGCTAGAATTCAGACCTTAAGTAGAAACCTGAAAGGGTCTGGTTGATCCTTTTAATTAGTATTTTATTTCCTCTAGTGCTGGTTATTGAACCCAGAGTCTTGCAAATATTAGGCAAGTGCTCCACCACTGAACCTCAGCCCCAACCCCGGTATAATAAATTTTTTATCAGCTTAATATATGCATCATGATAACTTTGTATTCAATGATCACTGATTTTCTTTTTATATTTCTGACTTACATTTCCATGGACTGATCGATCTTAACCATCCCCTGCCCAGGCTGTTCCTTCCTTTTCACTGCAATCCCTCCCTTAAGCCAGTCTCCTTCTGACTGTGTTCATCAGCCCTTTGGAGTTTACTGCATTGTTTTGCTTTTTTCTTTACTTTCTTTTCAGCCCCATGACACCACTGGCTAAAAGCATTTTTCCCTTTCACCTTTGAACATACGGGCAGTCATGGGCTCCTGATTTTCTTTTTCATCCTTTTCTTTTCAATTGCCCATAGTTAAGGTCATGTCTAATTCTGTGTACTAGTTGAGGAGTGTGCTGTGTAAATTCCTTGTCAACTAACCCATTTCTTTCAGTGAGGCTCTATTTGAAACTTACATGCATAAAAATAGTTTCTTCTAATTGCTTTGATGTTTTCTTTAACTACAAAATTTCTCCCTAATCGATACATTTATACATTTTTTCATGTAAATCCAGCTGCAGTGAATGTGGCTGACCACAAACTTATTGCAACTTACATTTTTCTAGAGTAATACTGTTTTATGATGATAAAGAATATTTCAATGAGTGTTTTATAGGTTGTAATACCTCATTTTGACCCCATGTCTAAAAATGGCAGTTGATAGAATACCCAGACGTATGTGAAAACAGTGGTGTGTCAGTTAGCACTTTAATAGTGTTCAGTTTAAAAGTAAAAGTAAACACCATGGAGTGACCTTTGCTAGGCTCGTTCCACTTGGTATATGACTTCTGCTGTGTGGCTGTGATAGACAGGACTATGACTGTGGTTACCACAGGACACCCTTATGGTCAGAGACAAGTTGTAAGTGTCACCCAGATACTTCTTGAATGTCTGTCACATGTGTGCCACTGATTCTAAAGTAGATAAAAAATGAAATAGAGATTCATTTGGGAGTTAGCACTCCCAGAAGATTAGTTTTAAGCCTGAACAGCAGGAGTTGTGATGTGCATCCGTAGGCAATTGTAATGATCTGACAGTTATTTAGCCCTTGGTTCCCAGTCCTTTGGTTGAACTGACAGCAAGCCTACAAAGATAGTGAGGCCTGTTTCAGCCCCATTAATGTCTTCTTGAATGTTAGCCTGCAGTTCAGTGATTGATGATCTTAAGAGTCCCAGGGGATTCTGGGTGGTTTCTGGTTACTGTGAGGCAGGGCAGTTTTCTGTCTTATTGGACCTTTTGTAAGTTTTTCTGATCTTTACTATGATGGCTTTGAATTAGGTTTCACCTGTAATTTTAATTAACTAGAATTCAGAGTCTTATTTGGAAACAATATGGTTTTGGTGGTGAAGGTGGATTTTGTATAAGAATCTGAGAACTAGTGCAGTTTTTAATCCACAGCGATTTTGTGAATTTTTTATGTTTTTCTTTCCTTTGCTTTTACAAAATTTGTTAAGCTATATGGAGAAATTTAATAATAGCTCTCTTGAAATAATACCGTTAGTTTTGTTAATTTCTGTGGTGCTTGTGATTTCATTTTTCAGACTTACAGTTAAGTGAGCTAATTTTATTAAGTGTTTTCCTTTTTATATGGCTCAGTTTCTATAGGAGAATATCTTGTTATGCTAGTTCTAAAAGAAGTATAAATAGAACATTTTTGTTACATATTCATTTGCCACTTAGGAAAGTATTTATTTCCAGTAGATTGATTGTGGATTATATTTAGTATTTTAGATAAAGACCCTTTGTTTGTAAATCAGGGAGCAGAGGAAGCATAGAAAGATAGAGGTGAGCATTTTCCTACTTTGCCACAATCATAAATACATTTTCTTAGTTCATTCTTTTCTTAGGGCTCCATAGAACTTCCCTTTTGGATAAAATGAGAACACAGTGATAATTTTTGTAGTATTTATCAGAAACCCTGATGCTTTGCAAACATTGGGGTTGTGGTTGGTGTTTGTTTTCAGAACGCATTTTCCTTTATGTGCAGTAAATAAAAAAATTGTTTTTACTTTAAAAATCTCAGGAATGAAAGGAATACTGTGCTGTTCAGTTTTTCAAATAATGAACAACTAACTTTGCTAGGAATGACTTACTTGTGAGTGTGTATATTAACTAGGTGAGTGTTATTATGCTCAATTAGCAGGACTGCCAAATAATCTCTTTAATACTCTGGTCTTTTTCCCCCTAGGGTTTTACAGACAGCCCTCATTACAGTGATCACTTGAATGACAGTCGATTAGGGGCCCATGAAGGCTTGTCCCCAACACCTTTCATGAACTCAAATCTGATGGGTAAGTAGGTGATTGTCTACAAGAAATCATTTCAAAGCCTCTGAGCTCAGAGACCTTTTTTACCCCCTGTCCAAGGACATGTAAGTATCTAGAAGGAAATTCAGAGTTTCTAGAAGTGCTTGGGGCTTTTCTTGTTCACCCAAGCTTGAGAACCAGCATCCAGAAATTGGGGGCCTGCTCTTAGAGTGCTATTGCTATTGATGTCAAGAAGGAAGTAGCAGTATTTTAACTCAGTTTTGGCATTGTCTATGTGACCTTAAGCATGACATCTTTTTCTAGGGCACAGAGGCAGTTTTTCAGGGACGCTTGTTTTACTATTTGTCTTAACAATTATAGGTAAATATGTGATTTGAGGCAGATTTTACTTACGTTGAACCTTATTTCTTTTGGTACTATTTGATTAAAATTTAATATTAAGCAGTTGAGTTCATATTGAGAATATTTAAAAATTTTGTTCTGCACAAGTGAAGTACGTTTTTGCACTAAATTGATCTTTAGGTTTTGGCAAGACTTTAATGGTTCATCATTCTTTATGTCTTTCCCTCCTCCATTGGAAACCTTGCAGAATTCCCCTTTCTCAAGTGAAAGTTTAAAGTCAGTCTGAAATAAGCCCAAGGATTTCTCCACTTTGAATACCATGGTTCTTTTTCTTCTTCTTCTTCCTTTTTTTTTTTTTTTTATTAAACAGTTTGACCTTTTTCGCAAAACCTGATTCAGAACCTCTGTTCATGACATTATTTTTTCTTCTTGCGTATGCTGTGGCTGAGCACGTTATAAAAGCTTTGTTTAATCTGGTTTACTGATTGTCATTGTTACCTTACAAATATAGATGGTTTGCGTAACTGGCGTTGATTTTATTACTTATTCCATTTTTTAAGGGTGTGACCTATATTGTAATTTCAGAATTGTCCTTTTGAGACATAGCCATGCTAATCTAAGTGGATTACCCAAATCCAAAATCCTGGTGGTCTGCAGATTCTTTATGAGCAATTCTGCTCTGCGAGTCTTCGTTTGTGTCTCACATCCTCGCTAATGTTGAGGAGACAGTATGACATTCTAGTCTGGATTTTGCCTAAGGCAGTTCACAGTTTACAGCCATGGAGTATGACACAAGAATAAGAAAGGACTAATCAGCAGTAAAACTTGTGTTTCAAATCACTGTTTGTGTTAACACAGTGCAAATGAAAATCATAGTATTGAGGATATTTCAGGTAAAACTTAGTTAAATTTAAAACAAAATAATTATTTGGCCAAGGAAAATGTCCCAATTTATTTTTTAAATTTTCTATTGAGCTTATCATCAAAGTGAAATAGACACTCTAAATAAATTCCTCTTGTATTATAATTTTCCCCAAGAATATTTACTTAGTGTGAGAAAAGTAAGTTAAACTCAGTGTGTTGTGTAGTTCTGGATTGAATTTAAGCTCTCTTGAGGCTGTCATTCTGAATTGTAAAAAATCATAAATTTGCCTTTTTGTATTTATATTGTTACATTGTTCCATTACTCGCAGAGTTAACTCATAGACCCAGTGGAATTGCATTATTAGCACAGCTTTGAGACAAGGTATCTATTAAAATTGTGGGGAACAAATCTGGGATTTAGATTAACACGTGGGAGGTATGCTTGTCAGTCACTTGGTCTGAGCAGCTGTTAACTAAAAATATTTCCCTAATTCAGTTTGAGGTGGCATCTTCTCATTTGAGTTATGAATATGTGCCTGTTGGTTTCTTTAGTTTTCAGAGAATTATCAGAGTACTTTCAATAGTAATCCATTATATATATATGGATTATATGTATTATATATGTATATATAATGATACACATATATAATATAATATATATTATATATGTATATATATTATATATGTGTATATAATCTACATTAAAATAAGTCATAAAACAATGTATGCACATATGAATAAATGAATAAAATAAAATAACTGATTTGTAATCAGGTGGATCTCTTCACTGTTAAAAGAGGGAAAATTTGCATTCACCTGAAGTACCATGTAGTATAGCTATACAGACTGTCCCTTCATTTTGAGTGTTAACTACCTAACTTTAAAGTGTTTATTTATATATAAAGGGGAGGGGAATAACTCTGAAGTCATTAGGATGTGTTCAACAAGGATTCACCAGTCATTGGCAGTTGTGCTTCACTTAATTTTCAGTAAAAATGACTAAACAAGGCAGCTCAGTATAGAAGTCTGCGTGGCAGTAGCTTACTCATGAAAATGAGTGTCTCTTAAATTGAAGTGCAGTTCCTTATAGCAACAGGCAATCCAACTTGATGTGAGGTACCAAATGTATGGCTTTGTTTCACTAGATACAATGGATAGATCAGCTTTCTCACTACATATTAATTTAAAACCTAGATTGTTAAAACTCTGCTGCTATGTGTGTGGCAGTACTAGAAGCATGTGAACTGTTGAAACTCTCAGTTGAGAGTGTGGCTGTGAATGGGGGAATGCTCAGAAACAGTTAAAGCTAAGAGGAGGGCAGCAGCTATTTCATCATTCCTGTCAGCATATAAAAACACCATTAACTGGGGAGGAATTGCACGTCTAGGGAATGTTGTTATTTCTAGTATTATGTTCAGCCATAAGCACATTTGCCTGAAGAAATAGTGGATTATAAAGTGCCACTGTCTTTCATGATGGAGCTTTCAAACACTTTAATGATTTTATACATTGCAAAAATGAGAAGTTTTGTCTAACAAGGGTTGATAATGATTCAGTAATGAACAATTTGCCAAAGAAAGTGCATTTCTGTATTCATTTAGATATTTTGAAGTGCTTTATGTAGGAAATAAAGCTGTTATGCTGGATCAGTTAGTTTTCTTTTATGAATTTCAGAATTATCCTGTTGATTTGTCAGTATGGAATAGTAGCAGGCTTTTCTGAGGTTTCAGGTGAAATAAATAAATCCTTTTGGCACATCACTAGGCAGTTTGCATCAAACAGTTCTGTATTCTGTTGCTTTGTGTAAAACTTTGACAGTATCACCAGCCTTGACTATCTCTGGTCTCTTCTAGCTTTGGTTCATTTCTCCACTCTTGGTCCCCTCATTAATTTTTATAAAATTTCTTTTCTATAAAATTTGATAAATTGTCATACTTTTGGTAATGAGAGTAGTTTATCAATTGAACATTCCTTCCATTCTTGTAGAATGAACATCTGTAATCTTCCTATTCCTCTACGTTTATCAGAGCTTCACTTGTTTTAAGGGAAGCCTACATGTGTATTTTAAACAGTAGACTTGAGATGTAAGATTACCTTGAATTTTCCTTTCTCCTATGATCTTCAGTTACATTCCTTTCTGAGGCCCTGTTTTGCCTCTAGAGATGTTTTGTTAATGTTCTCTTGAATTGTGAAAGCAACATGTGGTGGAATGGGGGAAAACATAATGCAAAAGTCAGGACTTGAAAATAACCTTTTCCTTTCTGATAAAGGTTTTGGGATTTACTCAAAGGTATTTAGTCACTCTAGAATTTTATAATTCCATAATCTCAAATATTTAGTATCTAATATTCAGTCCTGAAAAATGCTGCAATTAGAATTAGAGTTGTCAGAGCAAGTATATGGCAAAACTGAAGGTAGGAATAACCATGTCTCCTGCTTCCCAGTTGAATGTTTTTTCCATTAGGCCACCATATTTGTATGAAAGTTACTTGTTCTTTGATTATAATGCTCCCAGGTGTTTACTAGCTCACTATTTTCATCAAGTAATTATTGTGGAGACACTGGTCTTGAAATGACCGTGAAGAAAGTTTCCATAATGAAATAGCTTCAGGCAGCACTACATTATCAGTTGTTCCCCCTTAGAGGTACACATTGTGCTTGAGTATGATAAAGAGTCCAAAAAAAAAGAAGAAGCTATTTAATTTTGTTTAGCCTACTACATCCCAAACCCATATGATGCATAGAAGGGTTTTATAAAAAGCAACATTGACTTCTTAGGGAACTAGTTTTCCATGGGACACACACTGGAAAGAGCTTTTTGGTTGTTTGAAAGGGTGGGGAGAGGGAAGATAAATGAAAAGTAAAATAGCACCATGTTAATGGAATTGCTGTTTAGACATTAGGTCCAATTGTTTGAGTGTATCTTTGCTAAACCTGTTACAGATTTTGTACTTATGAACAGTCAGCTGTCCTGCCTTTGCTGCTGTGATCTCTTTGCTTAGCTCTGTCCTTCTGTACCTTAGAGTTTAAAGAGCTGCTCTGGTGGCAGCTACTGTGTTTTATTTCCATTTCATTGTTGGCTAAATAGGTTTCTGTGAGCTTTTCTGGGAATTTAAACTCAGGCACAGTTTTTTTCCCTATGCATTCAGTATTTCAAACCACCAAATTTCAAGCAAAACTCTTTTGTCTGGTTGATACTGTATGTACTATAATTTGACATTAGTTGAAAAATCTTCTGGAGTTGCAAAAAAAATGTAGTATCACCATTTTCAAAATAACAAAGCACAGTAAACCTCTGCCCTCAAGGATATCTAGCTTTGGTACACGTGAAATTCCTTTGCTAGATGAGATAATGAAAATGATTATAATTGTGCTTATGGGGACTTGGATGGCCTCATGTGTGATTTGGTAGTATTTCATAAGGATGAGTCCTTCACACTTTCTCAGTGTTTTATTAACCCCAAATCTCATGAAGGGATATGATTATATATTCATTCATCTGCATTCTTTGGTTTTTGATTGCTTACAAACACAAAATGTTGGTACTGGGAGAAACTTGAGTGAGAGAGATCTAGTTGAAGAAACTAAAGCCAAGAGAAGTGAGCTGACTAGATAAGATCCATGGCCCTGACCCTCCTGCTTCCAATTTAGCTTACAGTCCCATTCTGTTACACTGCTTTTATATATATAATTTTTTTCATTTTTATGTTGAACTATTTGGTCTTTTGCTGCCTTTACCTCATGATAGCTTTTACACATTTTTCTTCCTCCTTCTGCTGCTTAGACCATCATTAACCAGTTTGTCTTGTTGAATATAT